TAAAGATTGTTTTAAATATTAAGAAAAATTTAGTGTGTAAAGTGTAATTATTGAGATCCAACATAGGGTAGCATGCCTTTAACCCTAAGAAATTTTTTTCAAAGCCTATGAAGTAAACGAATGTTTGATTTGGCTACATTTAAAATGAAAAAAAAACCAACATTTAAATCATATTTAATCTAGATCAAACTGCAGATTATATTCTATTTGTATATACAAAAGTGTGCTCTTCGATTAAAAAATAGACAATTGTTCTAGAATTAAAATGCAAAAAAAAAATGTTATCTACTATATATCGAATACTACTACAGCTACATGTATCTATGCCTTGCTTAAATGATATATTTTCTTAAAATAGTATTATTTATTAGAATGTTTGTTATACTGCAGCTATCCCATCATCAATCCCCAGTATATACGCCTACTACGGCATGCAACTTGATTCTTACAACAATAGATACACAAGGCAAATTTATGAGGGCAGTTTAATGAAATTCAGATGTTATTTGTATCGACTGGGGGATCCGCCGATTACATGGACATGGTATTGTGGGGATGAAGTGATGAAAAACGTAACATTTTCAAGCGACCGTTCGTATACGTACATGAACTTCACTGCGACGTGGAAGCACGACAGAAAACCTTGCTATTGCAGAGCAAAATCACGTTCTACTGTTTTATTCTACGACGAAACTTCTGAAGATCGTTACCAGATGCGTGTTTATCGTGAGGATACTGAATTTGCAGAACTTAATACTTATTATTTGAAAATATCTTAATTTTTTCTATGTATCATAATTTATTTTAAAATCTTATTTTTTTTCTCAACAGTTTTGTATTCTCAAATATTTTTAACTGTTATTAAGTATAAAATTTTGAAATATACACACTTCAAAAGCTAACATTGTGTAAAAATGATGTCTATATGTATTATTATGTGTGATGTGTGATATGTTTACTTTTGCAAGATTCACCAAGGACACGACCATTTATTTATTCTTTGTCGTCTACAACTGTACAGAGCGGTGAGTACATTAACATTAAGTGCAATCTCGAAACACTAGGATACCCACAAATATCCTGGAGATGGATCTGTGATGGCCAGCCTCCCGTGAACGGAGTGGACATCGGGACAGAAACTTACTTTCAACTCAAAGCGTCTGAAAGACACAATGGGAAGGTTTGCAGATGTAGAGGAATATCCTCCTCATCTTCCTTCTACACGTACGACGAGGTATCGAACCCTGTGAAGATCACCGTTTTAAGTAAGATTAATTTAGCTTTTCAATTGATTTTTTTACCTAGTTCTTGTATCAATAAAATATCACAAGGCTAGTTTTTATCATTTTCTGTCTGTATAAGGAGATTTTTCTAAGCTCATGGACAAAAGACCTTATAAAGGTAGCAAAAAAGGCGTTTTTTGAAACAAAGAAATGAGTCATTTGTTGTCTATTTCTTTTCCAAAACATTATTCCAAACGAGCCGAATATTATAATACAATTATAATTAAGTTTTGAATTTGTTTAGCTAAAACCGAGGAAGAACCTCACTGCGTATCACCTGCAGCTTTTGGAACAACTACTGGGGTATTGGTGGTCATTATATTAGCGTTAGTCACCACCCTTGTATTACAGTACATCAGGGTGAAAAAAGGAGGTATCTGCCCCTGTGAAAATATTGGTGAGGTTTTTAAGAGAGAGCAATTACAATTTAGAACAAAATTAATATTTTTTCTAAATTTTATCGCAAGAAATATTTTGGTTCGTATTTTTTCTTTAATGTATAATTTAAGTTTACTTTTATGAAAGTTTTGACTTTGTGTTACTTTGATTTACTCTGCAGCTAAAAATTTACATAGGCGCTCCCCATGTAACTCTGTAAATGACGAAAGATAAGTATATACAGGTCTTCCCTCTGTATACCATATACTTATCTTTCGTCGTTTACAGAATTAAACTGGGAGCGCCTATGCTTTATTATAGAACTCTTTGAAGATACTGAGCTTAAATATTTCTTAAAATAAATATCATTTCTGTGATATTTTTTAAATCATTTTTAAATATACAAGTGAAATTTCCTTTTAATAAAGGAAAAGTGCTTGTATTTATATAAACAAGAAAACAAAACGATCTAAAAATCAATGTAAAAACTTTCATACTACGGTGAACTATAATAAAGTAAAGGCTACTCATACTTTTCTTGTTAAGGATAGAACACATACGTTCTTAAATATAAACGAGTTGAAAAAGTAATGAACAAACTACCGTTTCTTCGAAACATGTGAGAAACTGAAGCATTGAAATTTATTTAACGATGAATTTCAGGAAAGACAGTAGAAGAAAAAACAAGGTATGTTTACTTTAATCTGCTTGCCTTTTGGTACTCAAAATTCTTAAAAGACAATTTTAATACTGTATTTATTATTTAAGTGAATTGATTTCTGCAAAACATTTCCTTTACTTTTAGTGAAAACAGCAGTGAACATAATCCTACATATATCAACGATCAATCCTACGAAGTACTGCAAATTAACAGAGAGAGGTAATATTCTATTCGCGACATTGGGTTATGGAATAAAACACAATTGAGTTATACAGATATGTATTTTTAAAGCATTATAGAGACGGATTAAATTATGATATCTTAATTTATGATTGACTATTACGAAGTAAAAGCACAAGGATGAGTTATTATAAACTCAAGATCCAAAAGAAGTTGTTTTCCTGAAAACATTTCTTTATCATAACAATTTTTATTTAAATATATATAACCTTTTTTACGTAGAACGTGTTATATTCCTTACGATGAATTAAAACAGTAATTTCTTTCGTATTTCACTAATTATCAATATTCCATTTCCAACGAACTTTTCTCTCATTGAAATTTTTTTTAATCTTAATTCATAGATTGTATTTTTGTTCACATTAACAGACTGAACAATAAATTTGTTTACATTCAATACATGCTTTCAGTTCTCCCATTTAATCATATTACACAATGAATACATTTTTTCTTTAGTAAATACTAATACAAGATCATTTCAAAAGGCTGCAAAAATATACGACATCCATGTATCATATGAATCTTCACTGTGAAATCTTTATATACAAAGATACCAAAGGGGAGGGGATGGAGGAGGATAAACACAGAATTGTTGTTTCTTAATTATTGAAAGAAACTTTGTATTCTTTTTTTCAGACTTTAGACAACATTCCTCTAACTGAAATTGATTTGCACTGGTTTTATGGTTCTCCATTGAATGTTAATTTTTCTTCAGTCCCTTGGATTTCAGAAGATTATGGTACTTCAGCTGTGATATATTTTTCTTGACATTTCTATTTTATAAAGTAAATTGGTCCAATGTTAGCATATTTTTACTCTGTGGTCAATTTTGAAAATCATGCTTTGTGTACAGACAACTAACATGAAAAACATCAATCATTTTTACTATGTGTTCAGTGATGTCACAAGAGTATGCTGATAAAGCATATTTTGTTTATAATATTGATGGTGATATTTGTTTTTAAAAAGTTTGCTACTAATTCATATCAGAATATATCTATTAATAATATGTAAAAAAAAAAAAAAAAAAAAAAAAAAAAACCACACACACAAAAAAAAAAAAAGTTTATGCTCAATGTTGTAAATAAACTATGTTATGAATTTCATAAAACTGTTTAAACACGTTCCATTTCAATTAGTACTTGATAGAAGTAAAGAAAGATCTGCAATTTGATAGGATTACACGTCAACGATGTAATAAATACACATACTGTTGCAATGAATCACATTAGTTTCCCAAAGAAAATATAATTTTAAGTATTCTGGCGCAAGAGTCAAAGAAAAATACAAAACAACATAAGCATTTTTTAAGTTGTCTAAGTCACTCAGTCGCCCATTATGTGATAACATATATTTACATTTCCAGTATCTCTCTTCGAGAGATCGGGAGGCCCGGGTTCGATTCTCGTTCGCGGCGAACAAACCTAATACGTAAAAATAGGTAGCGACTGTTCCTTCACCAAGCGCTCGGCTTCAGCTTCACCCCTACTAATGTGTTCGGAACCTTTCATTTTTCGGTGTTCTGCAAATTATAAAACTCGATGAGTTCAGAGTAACTCTGACAGTGGTTCTGACGAGAGTTAGCGATACTTCAGCGAGATAGGGTAAATTATTCACGGAAATGTGGCTAGGAAGTGACTAGCACGTGGAGACTTGGTAAACAGAAAAGTTATGTTGCGTTTTAGTTTTCACCACCCTATAATATCATTCTGTAGAAATGTACTTCAGTAGATCTCTCTTGAATTCATTCAAGTTTAAATTATTTTTCAGTATTCTCTATGATACAATTTTCTGCTGTCATGAATTAAAATATCTTTTTGGACAAATATTTTGCATAGGAACCGGGAGTATATTTTTTGGCGTCAGATTAGCAAATGGGGCACCAATGTGACTTTAACTGACAAATCAGATGAATGAGAATTGCATTATGGGTTACTATACGAATACTACAGGAATTTTATGCTTGATAAATTCCTTTGTTGTACTATCGGTGAATACAATTGCCAGGTAGATTCCCTGGCCAACACACGTGATCACGAGTATAGTAATGTAAAAAAATGTTTTGTTCATTTAAATGCATACGAGAAGCTACTCGTTTTCCTTACCCTTGAAGTGCTGGTGTTTTGAACTTGACACTAACTACGTACACATTTTACTAAACACGTTTTTCTCTAATAAACAACAAATTAAAAACACCCGTGATATTTTTCATATTTTCTAATGTTTGCATTTTGTTCATAAAAACATTTTTTTTATTTTGCACTACATTGACATGATCATAAATTGACCTGAACCACGTGTTCGAAGTGTAAACATGTATTTGTCGTAAACGTATTCAATCAACAATTGGTCAAACAAAGGTTTGTCAGTGTAGTTGATATTAGACATTTTTTACCAGCGTATCTGTCGCTAGTGAGCTGTAATTTTCGCAGTTAACTCTAAGATGTATTAATTGGTATTTAACATCCCCCCTTAAGCCACCAATTCCTGTTGAAAATCATGAAAGTCTTTCAGAGAGGTGTAGAAACACATTTTCACAGGACATGTTTTCAGAAGAAACAGACTATAGCAATTTCCTGTTTACTGCCAATTGTATTTATATAACCGGATCTACCCTATAACCTATGAATAGATAAACTTAAACCACTTGTCTTGAATTTAAATCACAATAACATTAGTAGGGGTGAGCTTGGCACGATAAAGAACCCTCACTGCTCAATGGCTCTGAGTGCCGAGTATAGGTCTAAATTTGAAGCCCTTCACCGGCATCGGTGACGTCTCCATATGAGTGAAAAATTCTCGAGAGGGAGGGACGTTAAACAATATACAATCAATCATATAATCTTTGTCCGAGATAAAATTACAAAATTGTAAATGTACTTTATTTACCCATCAATGTATTGGCGCGGTTCCAAAAAAAACCCACGTGCAGGGCGGAACAAACAGCTAGACAGAAGCAGGGCTTGGAGCACGTGGATTGGTAGAATCAAAGCATGTAAACATAAGGAATAATTTTCAGATTTTTCAATTTCATGACGATGATCAATCAATTGGCTTGCGTGATAATTTTATGCATAAACGCCTTTTGTCCATGTGGTGTGTTTGTTGTTTATTGTACTTTCATTTGAAAGAAATGAATGGATTTAGAGTAGAAAACGATAAGATTGCAGAGTAGTCTTGAACGCTTTAAAATTACTGTATTACGTCTAACCACAAGATTTCTTCACAGAAGAACTCTAAGATGGATATTAAAATGATGCTTGAGTTTTTATTAACAATAACTATGTGGTTTTCGGAGACCAGGTCTCTAGAAATGCTGAAGTTGTCCGTCTGTTACGCTTTTGGGTACTCATCTCAATGAATTCTCAGTGAATTGCAGAATGGGTGTACTTAACGCCTTATTTCGGATCTTTTTACGACTACTCTCTCAAGCTTTAAATGCAAAATGTATTACAGAATTTGTCCAAATTTTATGCATGTAAAGAAGAAAACACATGCTGAGGCCTTCAACTCGACATTTAGATACATCGATGACGTACTGTCAATTAAGATATACGAGGGCTGTTCAATAAATAGTGTCCTCGGTGCTCAGAAAGAAGCAAAAGACGCTTTTCAATGATTTAGTCTTAATAATTTAACTTAATATTCTCTTTCAATTAAAACGCATGTCGATAAAAATTTTTATTCAATTCTGATTCTCATTTTTGAGTATGACCCTTAGTATACTGGGAAATGTCAGATCTTATGATTTCCTAGACTAGTTTCTTCGTTCTGAAAGGTGTTTTTTCAAGTTTGGAAAATGAAACAAGATAAACGGCAAAAGATCTGACGAATATTGTTAGTGTGAAAAAAATTCACTTTCTGTTTATCCCAAAAACTCCTTTACTCTTCAGGGAGTGCTGGTTTGGACGCTGTCGTGAAGAAATTCATGGATTCCTGATTCTGGTTCCTTCCTCTCATTAACCTTTCGATTTTTTTTGCAAAAAAGATTGCTTTTTAGAATCTTCCAGAAATTAAACTGCCTCCCCGAATACGAATTTTAACAACAAATAAATGAATAATAAAGTTTGTATGTTCTTAATACTTTTTTAATCCAACGTATATATTTTCTCTGGATTGTGCTGGATTTACAGCCCGATTAAATGTGACATTTTGAATATATTGTTGCAAATTTTGCCCGTAGCAAATTTATCAAAAAAGTTTGTATCTGGTGAATTACAATTAGTAATTTTTTGTTTGTTATTTACTCTAACGAGCGGAAATGCCTCCCAAAAATAAGACTAAGCGGAATTGCAGAATTGCATACTGAGAGACAACGAGGGGAAAGCATCAAGGTCAAAGAGGTCAAGACAAGAGCGACCAGCGGTAGCGATAGAGGTTGACGATAATCATACAGTACAGGAACCTGGTCCTTCAGGAAGCATTGCCGCCAAAGGGAATATAGTTGGTGCCAGAAAGTCAAACTCTCCTCCACTGGCCCCAGCACCTGTGCCTGCTTTGGCCATTGAATCTCAATCAGGTACAAGCATTGGTTATGAGAATCAATATGTAGATAGCATTCATTCACTATTGGCTAGCAATGTCTCTAACTCGTTGAAGTCTAAAATCATTAGTTCAGCATACATAGAGATTAGTTTGTTGCTTGATAACACTTCCCTGACAGAATCTTCAGAGAAAAAAATATATTTTAATGAAAAAGGGGGGTTGGTCACAAGAGAGGTTGTTAAACCTAGCAATAAGATTCAAAATATCAGTAGATGGACGGATGCATTCTTAGTTTACTCTAGCATTTATGCTTCAGCCCACCCAGAATCTTATCAGGGTTTGCTGAAATATTTACATGGGATAAGACTCGGGGCATCAAGATGTGGGGAGGGGGATTTGGGATGGAAAAAATATGACGAGTAGTTTCGACTTCGCCGCAGTATCGATCCCACCATAGATTGGTCTAATGTAGACTATGAGTTATGGTTGATGTTTATGTCATCATCCCCACAATCTAAACTAACAATTAAACCAAACCGCCCAGCCTGCAACAAGTGCTATAATTTCAACTTCAAGGGTCATTGTGACAGACCTTCTTGCCAGTACATGCACAAGTGCATAAAATGTTCTGGGAGTCATCCATTATATTTGTGCCCTCAATCTAATTATGTTGGGAAGTCCACAAGTTACCCAAGGGGACCACTGCAGGGGCAACCCCAAGTTAGACCCTTTATGTCACACCCAACCCAAACCCCAAGACCACAAAGGTATATGGGCCCTAGGAAATTCCCCTATATCCCCTAAATATCCAGACAAATATGCTGCTAATTATATAAAAAATGGGTTTTCAAAAGGTTTTGAAATAAATTATACAGGCCCAAGGTGTCATGTGTTTTCAAAAAATCTTAAGTCTGCAAGTGAACACCATGATGAGTTGATGGAAAAGATAAGTAAGGAAATAAAGCTTGGCCGAATCATGGGTCCTTTTGATCAGCTTCCAATTTCTAACCTCCATATTTCACCAGTTGGCATTGTCCCTAAATCTGATGGAGGGTGGGGAATGATTACCCATTTATCCTATCCCAGTTCCCAGGGGATCAACGACTTTATAGACCCAGATTTATGTACAGTGCAGTATGCATCTTTTGATGGTGTAGTCAATATGATTGCAAATTTGGGAAGGGGCGCATTGATAGGTAAGATGGATATTAAAAGTGCTTTTCGTTTAGTTCCAATCCATCCAGGGGATTTTGACTTGTTAGGTTTCTCTGTAGATGGATTATATTACATAGATAAATGCCTCCCCATGGGTTGTTTCATTAGTTGCAAAATTTGGGAAACATTTGCAACTTTTCTACACTGGCTTGCTCAGTTCAAGTCTGGATTGAATACATCAGATCATTATTTAGACGATTTCCTTTTTGCAGGTAGGTCTGGTAGTGATGAATGTGAAATTCTAATGTCTACTTTTAGTAACTTAGCTGGGGATATAGGGGTACCAC